CGGGAATGTCCCCGGGGGTTCCATCGGGAATGTCCCCGGGATTCCGTGGGAATGTCCCCGGGGGTTCTGTGGGAATGTCCCCGGGGTTCCATCGGGAATGTCCCCGGGGGTTCCGTGGGAATGTCCCCGGGGGATCCATCGGGAATGTCCCCGGGGGATCCATCGGGAATGTCCCCGGGGGATCCATCGGGAATGTCCCCGGGGGTTCCGTGGGAATGTCCCCGGGGGTTCCATCGGGAATGTCCCCGGGGGTCACCCGCCCATCCCGGGTTTCCACCGGGAGCGTTCCCGGCTGGAATCGCGCTCGCTCACCAGGAAGGAGCTGTAGGGAGCGGCCCCGGAGATGCTGCTCGGGGGCGGCGGCACCGCCGAGGAGGAGGAGGCCGGGAAGAGCCCGACGGCGGCCAGGTTCAGTCCGGGAATGAGGTGGGATTGCAACTGGGGGGAAAAAACCGGGAATGAGGTGGGATTGCAACTGGGGGGAAAAAACCGGGAATGAGGTGGGATTGCAACTGGGGGGAAAAAACCGGGAATGAGGTGGGATTGAATTGAGGGAAAACAAAATCAGGGATGAGCAGGGACTGATCTGAGGGGAAAAAATGGGATCAGGAGGAGCTGGAATCATGCAGGGATGTGGATTTGTGGGATCAGGAATTGGGATGTGAGGGATGTGGATTTTTGGGATCAGGATTTGGGATGTGAGGGATGTGGATTTGTGGGATCAGGAGGAGTTGGGATCATGCCAGGATGTGAGGGATGTGGATTTTCGGGATCAGGAGGAGCTGGGATGTGGATTTTCGGGATCAGGAGGAGTTGGGATGTGGATTTTCAGGATCAGGAGGAGCTGGGATGTGGATTTTAGGGATCAGGAGGAGTTGGGGTGTGAGGGATGTGGATTTTCGGGATCAGGAGGAGCTGGGATATGGATTTTCGGGATCAGGAGGAGTTGGGGTGTGAGGGATGTGGATTTTAGGGATCAGGAGGAGTTGGGATGTGTATTTTCGGGATCAGGAGGAGTTGGGGTGTGAGGGATGTGGATTTTCAGGATCAGGAGGAGTTGGGATGTGAGGGATGTGGATTTTCGGGATCAGGAGGAGTTGGGGTGTGAGGGATGTGGATTTTCGGGGTGGCCCCACTCACGCTCATGGCGGCCACGTCGTTCTCGTAGGCCTCGCGCACTTTCCTCATGATCTCCTGCTCGGCGCGGCAGCAGCTCTCGGGGGAGCCCTTCACCGTGATGGTGCGCTCGGGGTTGTACAGGGTCAGCTCCTGCAGCCTGCGGCACCGCGACACCGGGACGTGGGGACACCGGGACGTGGGGACACCGGGACGTGGGGACACCAGGACACCGGGATGTGGGGACACCGGGACATGGAGACACCAGGACACCGGGACATGGGGACACCGGGACGTGGGGACACCGGGACACCGGGACGTGGGGACACCGAGACACCGGGATACCAGGACATGGAGACACCGGGACATGGAGACACCAGGACACCGGGACACCGGGACAGGGGGACACAGGGACATGGGGACACCAGCCATGGGGACACGGGGACACCAGCCATGGGGACACCGGGACACGGGGACACAGGGACATGGGGACACCAGCCATGGGGACAACGGGACACGGGGACACAGGGACATGGGGACACCAGCCATGGGGACACCGGGACACGGGGACACAGGGACATGGGGACACCAGCCATGGGGAGCCATGGGGACATGGGGACACCAGCCAGGGCTCACTGTGCCGGGGGCTCTGGCTGCTGTCCCCAAAAGGGGCTTTGAGAGGAAAATCCCAATCCCGGCCACCAGAACGGGTGGTGCTGGTTCTGCTGCACCGAGAGGGCGGCAGGGGACAGTGCAGGGACCCCACAGGGACCCCAAAGGGACCCCAAAGGGATGGGAAGGGCAGCACAGAAAATCCAACCCCAAAAGTGAGGAAAATTGGGGAATTCCTGCCCCGGGTCCTTACGAGGAAATGGTGATCTTGGTCTCCGTGTCCTGCTCCACCTTCTTGAGGTTCCGGCCCTCTTTGCCGATCAGGCGCCCCACAAAGTTATTGTGGGCCAGGATTTTCAGGGGGACCTCGTCTGCCCTGGGAACGGGAACGGGAACGGGAATGGGAATGGGAATGGGAATGGGAATGGAACGGGAACGGGAATGGGAACGGGAATGGGAATGGGAATGGGAATGGGAACGGGAACGGGAATGGGAATGGGAACGGGAATGGGAACGGGAATGGGAACGGGAACGGGAATGGGAACGGGAATGGGAATGGGAATGGGAACAGGAACAGGAATGGGAACGGGAAAGGGGGTAAAGCCCCACAGGAAGGATTAGGACAGCTGGGAAAAGGGAAAAACCCCAAAGGATGGATTATGGGAACTGGGAAAGGAGGGATTGGCACAGAGGGCCGCGGGAAGCCCCAGCCCCATTGCTCAGAACCCCCAAACCCAGAATTCCGGTGCCGCAGAGGCCGGGCAGGATCCCGGGACGGGAGCAGTGGGAATCCTCACGTCTTGGTGTCCTTGGCCTCCTTGTGCATGATGTCCAGGATCATCCGGCACGCGGCCGAGCAGCCCTCGGGCGTGGAGTGGATGCTGATGGCCTTTTCCGCCGCACCCGCGTTCTCCTTGCGGTGCACGTCGATCCTGAAAGGGATGGCACGGCCGCTGGAACCGGCACTGGCACCGGCACCGGCACGGCACCGGTACTGCACCGGCACTGGTACCGGGACTGGCACCAGCACTAGCACCGGGATTGGAAGCAGTGGGAGGGGCTGAGGGACCAGCACTGGCTTGGGGGGTAGGATGGGGTGAGCACCTAAATCCCAAAGAAACCCCAAATCCCAAATCTCCTGAAAACAGCAACAACAAAATCCCTGCGGAGGGAAATTCTGGGAGAGGATTTCCCTGCAGAACCCCAGAGAATCCCTGGAAAACCCTGGAGTTCTCCCGGAGAATCTCTGAAGAATCCCTGGAGCACCTCTGGATCCCCCAGATCTATCTGGATCCCCCTGGACCACCCTGAATCCCCCCCCCAGATCCCC